AGTCTAGGTGATCCTGCTCTGGCAGGAGGGCAGGTCTGGATGATCTTTTGAGGTCCCTTCCAGCTCCTAATATTCTCTGATTCTGTGACTCTAGAAAGGCTGTCCTAGCTTCTGGATTGCTGCCTGTGTCTTTGAAGCCTAGAGACATTTGCATTTATGATGATACCTACATCCTTCTTGTGCTTTTTATTTTGTAGAACCTATGTGCAAACATATTCGTAAAGGATTGGAACAAGGTCAGCTGAAAAAGGCACTGCTGAACGTGGAATGGCATGTTTGTCAGGACTGCAAGGCAGACAATAAGACACAAGAGAAATCTGAGGAGCACACTGACGAAAGCCCTTCAATATGGTTATGTCTAAAATGTGGCCATCGGGTATGGCCTTTTGTTTTGTCGTTAATTAATCTTTGTATCTTTCAGTCCCTCATAGTATAGTGGAACAAGACAGCTTCTTATTAAACTCTGATATTCTCTCTTTTTAATTTTAAATGTGGTGCTACATAAATGATTTGTTATATTTTAGCATGAGAAAAAGTGTCTGCTCTGAATTGCAAAACTAAGTACTTAGAAGCTTGGCACAAAGGCATTTAGCAGACTTACAGCTAAAACACCATCTTGAGGACTTATTTTCGTAGAAAGTCCAAATTATTTTGCTAAGAAAGTAAAACTTCCTGTTGGTGCTCTTAAATAGTGATTTTTACAATGAAATCTTATGTTAACATTAGTTTATTAAACTTAAACTGTGCATGCTAGAGAGGTTTTTTGTTCTTTTTTGTTCTTCAAGCTGCTCAAACTGGAATTTGTAAATGTTGGGTCCCTGAGCAGTTATAGTTATTCTGCACCCACTAAGTTAATTCTGTCACTGCAGAAATAAGTATCTAGTCATCCTAATTAATTTAACAAAATTAATCAGTTTTCATTTTAATCCTTTGTTTATACTCTGACTTTATGAATGTTTCATTGATAGTCAACTGGATTTTGTGACAGTTCTGGTTATCAACATTATAGGGCTGTGGCAGGAATTCTCAAGAACAGCATGCTTTAAAGCATTTTATGACGCCGAGATCGGATCCCCATTGTTTGGTTCTCAGTTTGGACATCTGGAGTGTGTGGTGAGTTTGTCGGGCAACAATTATAAGACATAGCTAGAGGGCAACAGAGGCTGGGATATGATTTGTGTTTTCTTTTCTTTGTGATTTCTAGGACTTACTTCTAGGAATTTATAAAGCACTTCCACTCACAAAGTTCCTAGCAGTCATTCCTGAGATTTACTGAATAAATATTACTTCTAAACCTTATAACTAGAAAATTTTCATAATTGAATTTGAAATTGACCAACTAGTAAATGCTGGTGACTTCATATTTTACTGCTTTTGCTTGGTCAGGACACTGATGTGTAGAGACAAATGTCATCATCTAGCTCTAAATCTTTAACTTTCAGTCTTGGGAGAAGCTACTTTCTAATGCACAGTTAGTGACAAACTTAATTGCTTTTATTTCCCCAATAAATATGACTTCTTAATACCGTAACATATGTATAGTTAAGAAGCACAGCTGTAGAATTACAAGTTGCTACTGGATCAATCAATACAAATTCTGTCTCTTTGGTAGTATTTCCTTCTCCTAAGAGGAATTCTCCTGAAAGGAATATTCTTAAAAGAATAACACGTTACTTTATAAGGGGGGAAACTCAGTTTTCCAATCTGTGCCATACAGAAATACTGTGCCTTATGTAATGAGTTTTCATTTTGCTTTCTAACTTTTTTTTTTAAATTATTTGTCATTATGTTAATTTTATTTAATATTATCTCTTTACTTGATCATACTTAACACATTTCTATGCAATGATCAGTATTTTTATTGAACTCTAGAATGGAAATGGACATTAATAACATATTACTGATGAATTAGTGAACTTATTTTTATGAATTTAAAAAGTTTTAAAAAATATTATTTTCAAAGCCTTTATTTTCTCTGCTCTAAAACTTACGTAGTTTTTAAATCAAACTACTTGTGAATGAGAGGAAGTTGTCAAGCAAGATACTTCGACTCCTTCTAGAATTTCTTGATTGTACAAACTTGCACAAATCAAACCTACAATGAAGAACTCTATTTCACAGTGGACTTAGTACATAAAAGTTAAAGCCTTATTGTTCAGAATTTATTAATGCTATGAATGTATGAACAAATCTCTCTCTAGTGTGCCTGCATATGTGGTTGAAATTGGACTTGAATAGTACCTGTAAATATTTAAAGGAAAAGGTTTTGAACATGGAAAGAAAGAAGAGAGTTCTAGAAATTCAGTAAGTTCTGCTCTTCTGGGGTTACAAGAAGTGCTATTGTGTATGTATTTTCAGTACTGGTGTGACTTACCAGTTGGTTCTTAGTATTTTACCCCCATTGGCCAAACAGCCGTCATTTAAAAAAACCTGATTTCCAATCCCTTGATTCTTTCAAGGCTTCCTATGAAAATTTTTGATGGATGAAAAGTTATGATGTTAAAGATTGCCCATGGAAGTAACTGTCATGTTTTATTGCAGGAGTGAAAATGCCTATTTTTGTAATTAACCAAGCAGACAATAGATATATCCTCAGAGTTCCAAAGGTTGAGCCAGTTTTTTCAGTGAGACATGAAGAAATGTGAACATTGCAGCTAATTCCAGGGATGCTAGAGATTTAGGGAAGCACTTTGCTGTAGACTTCTGCTGCTTTTAATACCAGAAAGTAGAGTCTGACTTATAATAATCCTGAGATCTGCTAAATGCATTTGTGCCCAAGAACTGTAATTGGTATGTTTCAAAGTGCAGAAGTATTTTGCATTCTCTTCAAGTACCTTTTGTCACCTCTTTAAAGAGCTGATTGGGCAGAACTACGAAATCGGTACAAACAACTCTCCTTTGGCTGGATGTGTTCTGGCACAATTTTACTCTTACTTGAGCCTTTCCCACTGCAGCTTCTCTCACAGTTTTGTTTAAAACAGATTAGTGGCCTAACCACTCGCTTCCTTGCTCATAAAGACACAAATTGATTTGTACCAGCAACGGAAGAGCAAATAAAAGCATGCAGGACTAATGGAGGACACTGGTTTGTTTCCTATTCAGTTTAAATATAATTAAGTACTTGCTTGGCTAGAATACTCAGAATATTTTTCCACGACATAACATTCATAAGTCATTTTCTTTAGGGCTTGATATAATAGTTTATTGATTTTGGCAAATTTTTCCCTGCATTTGTTCTTCTTGAAGACTAGATTTATAAGCACGTCTTTTAAGGGTCTAATTTATATTTGTAAATTGCAACATCCAATCATTGAAATAATTTAGTAAAGATAATTTTAAAACTTTTATGTTCTTGATCAGAAATAGATTGAACTCTTAACTGTAAAAATATCTTAAAAAACCTTCAAAATAAATCTCGTAATTTTATAGCTTTGTGTAATGAATTGCATCAAACAAGCAAATAGTTTAGGATTTTTAAACAATACAAAAAAATAGGATTAACTGTTTTTCTTTTTTGGGGACGGAGACAGGTGCTACATATGTGATAATGAAGTCCCGTATACTACTTCAACCCGATTGGGTCAGACTGTGGAGTATATTAGAAAACAAGTTTGTACTGATTCATCACATACAGGTAAGTAACTATAGTATACATAGAATCATAGACTTACTTGGTTGAAAAAGACCTTTAGGATCATTGAGTCCAACCATAACCTGTCCACTACTAAACCACATCATTAAGCACCTCATCTATGCATCTTTTGAATACCTCCAGGGATAGTGACTTGACCACTTCCCTGGACAGCCCATTCCAGTGCCTGATAACCCTTTCAGTGAAGAAGTTTTTCCAAATATGCAGTATTTCCTAAACCTCCCCTGGTGCAACTTGAGGCCACTTCCTCTCGTCCTATTGCTTGTTACTTGGGAAAAGAGACCAACCCTCACCTCACTACAACCTCCTTTCAGGTAGTTTTAGATGATGATAAGGTCTCCCCCCTCAGCCTCCTCACCTCCAGGCCAAACAACCCCAGTTCCCTGAGCCACTCCTCGCATGACTTGCACTCCAGACCTCACACCAGCTTTGTTGCTCTTCTCTGGACGCACTCCAGTGCCTCAATGTCCCTCTTGAAGTGAAAGGCCCAAAACTGCACACAGTATTCAAGGTGCAGCCTCACTAGTGAGGAGTACAGGGGAAGGATCAATTCCCTGCTCCTGCTGACAACACTATTTCTGATACAAGCCAGGATGTTGTTGGCCTTCTTGGCCACCTGGGCACACTGCTGGCTCATGTTCAGTGAGCTGTCAGACAACACCCCCAGGTCCTTTTCCACCGTGCGGCTTTCCAGCCACTCCTTCCCAAGTCCGTAGCATTGCATGGGGTTGTTGTGATCCAAGTGCAGGACCTGGCATTTGGCCTTGCTGAACCTCATATATACATACATACATCTTTTTTCACATACAGTAGATCAACAAGTCCCTTAAATGAAGGAGATAGTACTGTAAATTAAGAACTAAACTAGATTTAACCTTTGAACTATCTTACGGCAAATTAAAAAGCTCTTTTTTTATCTTTGTCAGAATTCTGGTAGCTTAATAACTTCCTAGCCCATGGACCTTACTGATCAGGATTTTGCTCAGTTTTCCCTAAACTTCTGTAGACCAGAAATACAGGAACAGGGAGGGAAAAAACCCAAACAATTTTACTGTGACTTTTTTAGAAAATGTGATGTTCGATTGTCATGTGAGTAAGGAATTGACTTTCAGTGCTTAGAAATGCTTTGATTATTCACCAGTATTGCTTAGTCTGTTTCGAGATCTGAAGGAAAATTGTCATTGCTTAAGGATAATTTCATTTGATATTTTTAAAAATATTTTTGTAGGCATTTGTGAATGTATCAGCTGAAATGACCAAGTCACCAGCTGTTGCAGCACATTTCCTAATGAAAGGATTTGTCTGCTAGGTCTGTACATTTCGTATAGGTAGCTGCAGTGCATGCGGAGTGCCCTAAAATAGTATTTTCAGCCTGTAGTCTGTCTGCTAAACATGGTTGTTTAAAAGGAAACAAATGCAGCAAAACGCCCCAGTTTCCACAATGGCAGAACTGCTTTTGTACCAGGCATTTCCACTAGAAAACTTGGAAGAATGTGCATATCAAAATAAATGCTATAATTCATGGCTGTCAAATATTCCAACACCATCCTACGGATGTATGAAATCATAGTCCCCTTGGGAAGTTGATCACAGCCATCCAGCAATGCCAAGTAGCTACTTCTGAATGTTTGGTCAGGAAGCAGCTGAGGTTTTCCCACAGGGACCAGAATCTTTGAGTGGTTTTGATCGGTCTTTCCCAGATACGTAGTTTCTCTACAAGTAACTACATTGAACTTTGTATTTGTTGCCAAAATTTTCTTCTTGGGTTTGAACCAGAAAACGGATGAGTATTTGGGTGCAGTTACTGTCTGTTTCAGGTGTTTCATCTGTTGTTATCCATGCATCAGTTTCTTGTCCATCTGCAAAGATTTTTTTTGGTCTGTTTTCCTTGCATTCTCTCAGCTGATGTTACTTTATTTTAAAGTTAATCTTGGCTCAGAGCCCTGTTTATCAGAAACCTAATCATAATAGACTGCCAAACTGGTAGAACCAGTGTGCGTGTTATTCTGAAAATTACGTGGAATCCCGTTACGGTTTTGTTAAACAGGTCATGGAATTTTTGAGCTGTACACCACAGTAACTTTGCTGAAAATATACTTAACATGTCTTGAAGAATATAAGCCTTCCAGTTTCAGTTGTTTAGGCTCATGAAATGAACATGAGTGCTTTGACACTGGGAGGCCCGTGCATTTAATTTCAGACAATAGTGTTGTGTGGAAAGGGCTATTATCTCAGATGCCGTCTTGTTGGATGTTGTATAGAGCCCTAACATAGGTGATTTTGCAACAGGAGTGAAATGTCAGATAACACGTGCAGAGTTTCAGAGATTATTGGCATGAATGGCTTGTGGGCCAAATGGCATGTTTAAATTGCATGCTGATCTGAAATGGCATTTCAGGGGTTTCTTGATCTTTTTTTGCTTGTTTGTTGGTTTCTTTTGTTTAGTTTTTAACACGTATTACCTGGACAGTTTAAGAACCTAAGCTAATAGTGTTGCTTTTATACAATTACAAAATTAATTATCCTATGTTTAAGTTTTCAGCATCACAGATTGCTGCTGCCTATAATAACTTCTTCCCAGACCATTCCCTGTTACTGGGTTAATATGTGGTATGTTTATTTTTTAATTATTTCAGTAGAAAAACAACAAGAGAACAAAGAATTTGAAAATAAAAAAGTAGAAAAAGACAGCAAAAATGAGCAAGAAAAAGAAGTCTCGCTTAAAGAAGAGAATTCTCATTCAAGTACTAACTCGGCAGTGACTGTGAAAGGACTTAGTAACTTGGGGAATACATGTTTCTTTAATGCAGTGATGCAGGTATGGTCATTGTTGCTGCTCTTAAAAATCCTCTGGTTTTGGTTTTTTTTTTTTTTGCTATTCAAAACCCCCCCCCCCCCCAAACCAAAAAAACAGCCCACAACAACCCTGCTCCCAGTATTTTAGTGACACAATTAGAATTTGATTTTTATCTGCCAGGAATGATGGGTTCTTTCTAAAAATAGTGTATTGGCCCAGAGAAATACGGAGAAATTGAGCTGCAGGTTCAGACTTGCTCTAAGGGAGAATATAACAAACTGCCTTATCTTTGAGGGACAGCATCTTTCACTGATGTGGACTGACCATGTCAACTTCCTAATTTAGTAAAAAATTAAAAAAAAAATAACCTGGTGCATCACCCTTGCTGACCTCGTAGAATATGAGATTGCTATCCAAAGACTGGGTGTTTACTGAAACAAAAATGTCTCTTTCAGCAACAGAAAACAAATAAAACTAAATATTAATAAGATAAGCACATTGCATTGCTATCTTGTGTTTTGCTCAGCTAAGAAGTGTGGATAAAATGAGCCTGCTCTTTTGTGTGTATTAAAACTTGCATGTAAACTTGTGCTCTTTGGTTTTTGATACTGAAGGTTTACTAGGACAAAATTCCGACTGTACTTGCAGTCTTAATTTTTGGTTTGTTTTTTTAAACAAAATATATACATTGCATTTTACCTTTTGATTTTAGAAACAGACATTAGTAAATAGACTGTCAAAAGATGAGTCTGTAGAAGAACA